GTTTGCAGCCTGTGACACTTCCACCAGCGTTCTGTTAGTTTGCAAAGTTAAAAATGTGTTTATTTCAGCACAAACACAAACCACGGCCACCACAGTGAAGGGACACTGGTTTGTGGCTGGTACTGTTCATGCGTCTGGCCAGATGTGAGACAAGCTGTATGAGATTACTGTACGGCTAATTTTCACCACGCCTTTGATTGGCCTCCAAATTCATATCCCCTGAAAACATTTATAATACCTCTACAGTGAGTCATCAGCTTATTATTATCCAGTATGATTCACAGACTTTGTCACATGGATGCAATCCGGCTTTTTTTCTTCTTTCATTGTCCTTTTTCCTGGGTTGCCTGCATTTCCACTCAAACCTGGNNAAAAACAAAACAAAAAACATTGTTTGTTTTGTCAGGTTGGACTGTGGTCATTCTCTTCTCATGATAAACACACATCACTAAGAAAACAGGACAGAAAGACACAAAAAGTCACAGGACATTTTGTCTCACAATCAGCCCCCTTTATGAGGAGCAGCAGTAGTTGTAATCACAGTGTACTTTTATTGATTTATGGCTTTAAAGTTCAGAAACTAGAAGGCACCTCACTACTTGCGCAGCAACAATCACACTGTGGTGAACAAGTATTCAAGTCCTTTACTTAAGTAAAAGTACAGAATAAGTTGCAACAGAATGTAATTAATTTATCAAAAGTAAAAATATGACCAATTCCAGAGGGTTATGTTATTGATTTTATTATATTATTGTATTATTATCATTATATATATATTAATGTGTGAATAGCATCTTAATGTTTTAGTTGGTAAAAGTGGAGAAAAAAATCTGTAAAATGCAACACATTTCTTAAACTGATCATATTTACTACACATGTTGTATGTGTAATATTAATCTACACAGTAAGTAACTATCTACTACTATCTACTATCTAACTATAGTAGTCAGTAGCATAAAAAATGGAAATACTCAAGTAAAGTACAAATACCTCAAGTCCAGTACTTGAGTAAATGTACTTCCACCACTGCTAGAAGAAGAAGTACTACGTTTGTGTTTGACAACCTGGGAACGAGAACATGAACCAAACTACAGCCAGTGTTTGGTTTGTCCGGCGCTCTGGGCTACTGTAGAAACAACTGGAGGTTCAACATGGCGGCCTCTGTGCCTTCACTGTAGATAATAACGGCTCATTCTAAGGTAACTAAAACAACAAATGATTCCTATATTCAGGTGATTATACACTCAATAAAATATAACTATGAATATTATATTCAATTTCTGCCAATAGATCCTAAATGTTACACATTGGACCTTTGAGGAAAGGTACAATGCCACTATATATATAAAGTATACTTAAATATTCCCTTCAGAGAGACATTAACACACATATACAAATATTATATGATGATGTGTTTTTTCCACAAAAAGTATAATTTCCACATCCTTAAAAATGCATCTACTCCTTCTACCTCATTAACAATGTCAGAATTTATTAATCTATCTCTAGAGTGAAGTCCATCCTCAGTGTTTCTGCTCTGGTGGCTTCAAGTTTCACACTTGTGCTCCAATAATGTGGTTAAATGTTCCCAGAGACACACAGGAGCTGATTTATGGATTTCAAATGTTCATGCTGTCCATCAATCATCATCTTTGTTTATTGTTAAAAAACTCTTGTTACTTTTATTTAATGAAAATCTTTTTAATCTTGCCTTGACACTTTATATGTATTTTGTTTACTTTTAATCATTTACTGTATGTTTATTGTATGTCTTCCTGTATATACTGTGTCTCCTATAATAACTGTATTCTTAATGTTGTGTTTTGATAGTTTAATTCTCAAAATGTATCAAATGAAAAAGTAAAAGTATGCGTTATACAGAATGGTCCCTGTCAGTGTTATATTATAGTATTCTTCATAAAGCTTTCAGCTGATAAGTTTAATTGTATAACGGTCGTATGTTTTGTAATGTAATGTAAAGTATATTAACAGAAAGTGGAAATACTTTAATATATTGTACTTAGTTAACAGACTTTGTTGCTTTCCACTGCTGGATACAGATGTGGGTTAGAGTTCAGGGACATCTGGGTGCTGCTGAGTCTTAAACTCTGATTGAAGCTGTAATTCTTGTGGTAAGTGTACATGAAGCCTGTGTTTCATCTCTGCTTCATCTCACGTCAAGAACTTTATCTGTTAACTTTCAACACATGAAGGTTTTATTTTCTCATTTCATCTTTCTCTCTATCTCTGTCTGTCTGTCTGTC